TTAAACTTATAACCTAAAAAAAAAAACAAAAAAGGAAAGCTTCTTCGACAATTGGCACTGTAGAGAGGTCAGAAAATCGTACTGTTGAGCTCAGAACATTGTTTGTTTAGATCGTCACATTTGAGGCACGTAATCATAGATCTACTACTCCATATAAATCTATGTGTTTGTTGTGATAGGTAAAAAGTAAACAATACTACCTGATTTAAAAAGTAAACAATACATCGATCTTTTGGAGAGGGTAAGCTAGATCACCCACTTTTTACAAAATTTTACTTGAAAAAATAGTAAAAAACAACAAAGGTATGTGAGGTTCTTCTGTAGGTTTTACAGTTGTATAGTTGGTTCTACAAGATTATACTATCTCAGCGAGAGCTGTACCACTACTTGCTTCTAGAATAAACCTTCTAGTTTAGATACCGAATATCCTGGGAAGTCCACCAAAAAGAAAGTTTGACCCCAAGAAAAACTACTTAAGTTATGCCTGCTCCTTAGTATTTCATGTCTTTCAAGTTTTATCGACAGCAACCTGCTCAGAGATAAGTTCAGTTTCAAGAATACCCTTCTAGTTTGGATGCCAAATATCTTGAGGAGTTCACCATAATACAAAAGCTTGACCCCAAGAAAAACTGCCCAAATTACACTCGCTCCTCGGTATTTTACATTTTTAGATTTCATTAACAACTGCTTATTCAAAGACAGAACTAAAAATAGTATATATCTTGAGACTTTCTATATTATTTTTTTGTAGTTTGATTTTTTTGTTGTGTTGTCCTAAGGATCATTAGAAAAAGTTGAATATTTTTATTGATAATTTTTATTATTAATTAATCTTAATTTAGAATTTACATATTTAGTAATTCTAAATTGAGTATAAAATAATAATATAAAAAAATATCTGAACTATATTAAACAAAAATAAAATTAAAATTAAAAAAAATCTATAATATATTCTTTTTTTCTTTTTTTATTTTCTGTTTAGATGATAATTCTTTGTTTATATTTAGTTGATAAAGTTTCTTGTTCTTGTCAACATCTAAAAATTTTTTGATTTTTAGGATATTCTCTTAAATAATTTTTAAATACTTTAAAAATTTTCTTCTCTAATAAACATTATCTCAATTAATAATATAATCTCTATCAATCCCTTCATTTGTTTTTTTTCCTTTTTCAATTGTTGTTTCTAATCAATCTTTTCAACTTGATATTCTATATCAAATATCAAATTTCTGAACTTTTCTTCATTGTCTTTGTGAAAAATAATATTTGTTGTTCATTTGTTAAGATCATGATGCTATTTTTCTATAAATTCAATTATATAATCTAATCATCTTTCAAATTGGCTATATCTTTTTGTATAGTTTCTTCTCCTCTTTGTTCAAAGTTAAAAGAATCTTGGGGTGGTTTATTTGCAGTTAAAAAAATATATTTTGCTAAAAATGGTTCAAAACCTTTGTTTTTGATTTCTACTCGTTCTTCCATATCATTAAGATAATTTACAAGATTGTTCCACCCAACTTTTGTGTAAAATTCATCAAGTAAAACAATTTTTTAGCCTTCATAATTTATAAAATTTTAAATATATTAAAATTTAACTCTTTACAAATTAAGTCTATTATTATTTACTTACTATTCTACCAAGAATTTTTTTATTTTTTAGGTTTTTGGTATAATTTATTGCTGAATAAAGCTTGAACAAGTTCTGATTTTCCACTTCCTTCAGATAGAATGTAATGGGTCTCCAATGTCTACAGCCTTTTTTTTTTTTTTAAATTGCTTTTGATTGTATGAAATTTTTTAATACGAAAAAAGAGAGTTGTAATAACTCGAAAGTATTAAATTTAGATTTTGAATTAATGCATTATATTATATATTATTGTCTCTAATATGTTTTTTGCATCTGATATCATCTAAGTTACTGTTATTAATAGCATCAACTATTTCATCAGAACTACCTAACAGTAATCTGTATTTGCCAAATACAAAAAGATCTGAACCTTCTTCTTCTAATAATTCTTTTCTAGATTGTCGACAACATTCAATTGTGTATACTTTACAATTTGCTAAATCATTTAAATTATATAAATTGCATTCACAATATTTTTTTCTAATAGCTTATGATATAATTTACATCTTTTATAAGGTTTTCTAATATAATATTTTCCATCTTTAAAAGAACCCTTCATTAAAATTCCTGGAGGAAAAGAAATTCTATCATCTTTATCAAATAACTCTTTTATGTTTTTCATAGTTACTTGATTTAAAAATTGTAAAAAAAGATAAATATATAAATATTCTTGTTGAGTTCGTTCAAATTTACCATAGCTATAAGTTAAAGATAGCTATAAAAGATCAAATTCTTCTTGTGTTTTTGGAATTGTCCATTTGCATTTGATTCTATGTTTTTAGCAATTAATACAATATATTGAATTGCAATAGGCTTTTTTATAATATTGTTTATATTTTAAATTTTTGTATTAATAGTGATGCAATTTACATCAAATATATAATAGTTGTATTTCTGTTTCATCATATTCTTCTTGGTGTTTTAATCGTTCAACTTTATTGATTTTATCTTTTTTTGCACATTAAAAATTTTTATAATATTGTTGACATTGAAATATAGTTATCATAGTTTGATTAAATTTTATTCCTGATACTATTTTTGATTTTAATTACGTAAAAAAAATTCTAGTCAGTATAGAAACTGACTAGATAATTTTTATTAAATATAATATTAAAATATAATATTTGTTATAAACTATTAACTTTCAACAGCAATTGATTTAATTTTTTTTATTGTATATGTTCCTTTGATCTTTGGAAAATAAATAATATTATTATATTTAATATTAAAAAAAGATTTGTTTTGGATATTTTTACTATTGTTTAAATGAATATAAATATAAATATTATTAGTATCTTTTTATTTTATAATAATATGTTTATTGATTTGCAAGTTTTTCTTTAAAAATATATTAGTTAATTGTAACAGTATAATATTAAAATCAATTAAACAATTATAGTAAACCATTTGAATTTGTTTTGAATAAATACAAAATTTTACTAAAGATATTTTAAAAAACAATTTTGTTTTTTAATGAATAACTGTGGTGAAGCCAATTGTATTCAGTTAACAAATCGATATTAATTTGTTATATTACAAATTAGATCTTTATATACTTTTTTAATCATTGGTTTTCAAAATCAATTTTGAAAAGTTCAGTCTAACTCTATTACTGCATATTAATAGTGATAATAGAGATCTATGACAAGATTTTATTTGTAAAATTTGAAAATAAACAAACAAGAATTCATAAAGTTATCAAGAGTTTTTATTTTAATACTCTTTGTAGATTATTTTTAATTATTGGTTCTCAAGATCAATTTTGAAAAGTTCAGTCTAACTCTATTGCTATACATTAATAGTGATAATAAAGAACTATAACAAGATCTTATTTGTAAAATTTGAGATTAAACAAACAAGAATTCGTAAAGTTATCAAGAGTTTTTATTTTAATGTTCTTTGTAAATTATTTTTTAATCATTGGTTCTTAAGATTGATTTTGAAAAGTTTAATCTAACTCTATTAATATGTATTAATAGAGATGATAGAGAACTATGACAAGATCTTACCTATAAAATTTGAGAGCAAATGAACAAGAATTCATAAAGTAATCAAGAGTTTTCATTTTGATACTCTTTGTTAATCAATTTTTAATTATTGGTTCTCAAGATTGATTTTGAAAAGTTCAGAAATTTGATATTTGATATAGAATATCAAGTTGAAAAGATTGATTAGAAACAACAATTGAAAAAGGA